GCCACAGATGAGGTTTTGCAATCAAGATGTGCAATTCCCCAGTTTAGCATTTTTAAATGCCTAGAAATGTTCCTTTGCTCATTTTTTATATACATCCTGAATGTATAAAGCGGTAATGCAGCAAGCGCAAGTGTAACATCTAATGTTTTAAGATACCTGCTGGGCTGCTAAATCAGGTCAATATGAAAACATCTGGTTTTGATCTGAATGCAAATCAGGATTTTCTACTCTTACACAGATGAAACAAACACGTAAGGAGGAGAAATTAAAAAAAGAGTCTAAAAATAGTTCATATGAAATGATGCAACTTAGTTTTACCTCAACCATAAGCAGCCTGAAAAAAAAGAAAAAGTAATAAAACACTTTTTTTTAAAGGCATGTCAGAATTAAATGCATGAATCATCAGTCTTACTCCCTTAATTTTGTAAACATTCCATGCAATTGGCATATTGAATATTGTGCAATATTTTAGCCGAGGTTTGGTCACTGTCCACTCAATTCCCAAAATTAGACCAATGAGTAATACAATGGCCTTAAGTAGAAAGCAGACATCTGCATTCATAAGAAGGTCTTGATTAACAACTAACAAAACGTTTTTGTATGGAGATACCACAGAGTTCAGAACCAGTCAACTTTTATAATTAAAATAAAATCTATTCATCAAATGCATCAGAAGAAGTTTTCATTTACTTTGCCTGTTTAAGCTCTTTGATTAATACCTTTGTAGATTTCTAACATGTATTACATCACTGGCTGTCCAACCACATATACTACAATCAAGAAAAAAAAATACATACCTGTATCTGTGTGGCTGTAGCTGTCCTTGTCATTGTGGTTACCCATCATTCAACCTGACTGGGTATCGCCTCAGTGTATCAAACACTGCCCTCTACTGTCCCAGGTGTCTTATGAAGCCTTGCTGTAGTTTGGACATAAGAATTAATGTACATTTTAATGAGGATGACTCACAGCAAAACATCTCCAGAAAATAAACAAAGATGAAGCTCCAAATATCTGATTTTAAATGAAAACCCTAAACATTTTTAAAGTAGCATTTCCATTGAACAATCACCAGCTCCAGCTTTAGATGAGACTTTCTTGCAGTGCTCATGGTGCACAATAATTTAAGACAGGAGTCTTCAAGAACTACAGCCTTTCACATGCTTCCCTTCTCAGCCTTTGCCAAGCTTGATGGGATTCTGATGAGGTATTAATCATTTGATGTGTTGCCTCAGAGATGTTAAAAATTGCAGGGCAGTAGCACTGGAGAGCTGGATAATCCCTATTTAGGATTTTTTTTTAAGCCCTACATTGGTTCCCGAGTTGTATCACCCTGGGCAGAGAGCCATAATAAAAAAATAGACACTTGTGACCCTCTGGGGACTTAATGAGACATATTTATCTCAATAATAATAATAATAATAATAATAATAATAATAAAAGAAATAAGTGAAGCAGTTTTATTGTTAATGGTAGAGAGAGACAGCTTCAATGCAGATTCGCCAGCTGGGATAAATACAACCCCAAACTGTCAAATTATCAACACAAAATCTGAAACTGGTTCAAGGTGACTAAAGTTTAAAGTCAACATATCTCAAAAATGTGCTGTATCTTACTCAGTCATTTAGTTTAGGGCATTGCAGATACTGAATCTGTGCAGCTACCGTTTGCACACAGCATGAAGCATTTTTTGTTTTCTTAATATCGTTTGATGTTTTTGTTTCATTCATACCTGCTCGGCTCAGTCTGGCAGCTGGAAGCAGTCGACTTTAGTCTCCTAAAGTCGCCGTATTTCCTCTCCCCCTTTTTCTCCTCTGTCCCGTATCCCGAATATTCCCGGAGGACAACGAGTCCCATCAGTAAACACGTACGTGACTCATAAAGACAGACACGCTCGTCTCCGTCTTTGACTTGAATCCAATTTCGGATATTATCCAACGCCAATGCTTCGTCTTTAAGTCCAATGCGGCAAAATAGGAAAGAGGCAGCGGAAAGGAACTGGTTGCGCAGCAGCTTTCCACCGCATCAACAACAGATAATGACAATACAGCGAAGCTTTAAAAAAACACACCAAAACACAGCAGTCCGATAGTAAACATGCTACGTGGGAAGCGACCCAAAGGAGCAGTCACACCCTCTGAATGGAGGCTAATTATTTTCTGTGAAAACCAGGTGTGGTGGCACGCGCGGAACAAGTTCTGCCGTCACGCGGCCTGCAGGTGGATTCTGTCAGATCCTGTCACATCGCTCCAAACCAGAACCACTCAAAGTAATCAACAGAACTGTGCTTATCCAGCCACGAAAGCTCCGACACTAATGCCATCAACAGGGGAGAAGCTTGCGAGGCGAGGCACCAACTAAAAATAACGCGACCCAATATTTGTAGAAGGAGTGGAGGATGTTTTTATAACACGTTTTATGACACGTGACTCTTTTGTAGTCTCGATCATACATATAGCCAGGTGGGAACGAAAAACAAGAGTGACAAGTCTTGGCACCTTATTTATGTATCTGGATGAGAAATTGACGCAATTGCCCTTAAATGACAACTTTTTTATTAGGTACTCAATAAAGTGAACAGAACTGTTTTTCTATAAAAAGTGAAACAGAACTCTCTCACTATGTTCTAATATTTGTATGTAGTTATTTGTATACTATATTCCTGCAATTTGAAACCAATCACATTTGAGAACATTTTTGTGTCATTCTTGGATAAATACCCGAGCGTCAAACTTGTGTATCTCTTTTTGAATTTACAGCCAATCACTTTAACATCAATGTAGTAAGAAGCTGCTGTAGGTCCCATGATTAAGGTTTATATGTAGACTTAAAAAAAATAAATAAATAAAACAAAAATAAAAAAATTGTCTTGTAGATTTACATTATATTTAAAAAAGAAAGTAAACCACATGGTTTCAAATCGATGTAGGCTTTAATGCATGTAGAAGAGTATAAACAAGATTTGCAAATCACATATGGCCAGAAAGTAAACTGATAAAAATTAATGGAGAAGGAAAATTATAGAATATTTAAATTGTTTCTTGTTTCTTTTATAGCTTGTTGAATTATTAATTTTATTATGTGTTGTTTTTTATTTTATTTTGTCTGCATTAGTTTAATGCATTACTGTACTTAGTAGTAACAAAATCTTGTCAAAGTTTTATTTTTCAGCACCACGGACAGAGAACTGCACATTAAATCATCTGTTACGCCCTCTTGTGTTTCTGTTTTTTAATTACAGGAGTCCCCAAAATTTAGTTAAGTAGAAATTGTAGAATCAGTTTTCTTATTGAAAGTTTAGAAACACTTTTCTAGTAATCCAACAAAACATTACTACAATTTAAACCGCATGGAACAATTTTATATACAATAAGATTCTAATGACTGTGCTGGTTGAATATGTTATTAAACCATTTTCTTAGGTTGTCAAAGTCCTGAAAAGAGGAACAGACTGATATGATGGAATATATGTGTCCTCTTAACCGCAAACATTCAACTGTGAGGAATCAAAAAAATGCATAATTCTTACTTTTTAAAAAGTATTTTAACGTTGTTTGTGTGTGTCAAAGCAGAACATATTTTAATAAACCCTTATGCAGAAGCAAGACTAGATCTTAAAGTATCTGCGCCACACTAATGAGACTAAAAGTCTCAGCCTGGCCATCCCTGTGAGTACTATCTTCCTCTGGCGCAGCCTGAGGTAACCCAAGCCTTGTGTTTATTTCGTGGTAATGCTGCTAATTAGGGATGATTCAGAATGTGAACCACTGAGTAAAAATCTCCTGATCTATGCAGCATGAATTCTCTGAATAAAGATATGCAACTGTTTTCAGCTCTGGGCTGCTTTAAGCTCTGCATCCGCATGATTCCTCAGTGACCTCAACACCTCCCTCCATTGTCTTCTCACTTTAAGCCCACTCACTTTCTATTATCATAAATTTGGTCACGAAGCTTCTTAAAATACAAATTTATTCTTCTACATAACTAAGAAACAAGGTAAGAGAAACAGAACTTGATGAATCTTAATCTCAGGGAATGTTATAGTTAAGAATATTAAATATGGTGAAGGCTGGCTGGTGAAATAAACAGATGAACACTTTAGTTGAATAAAGAAATATCTAAAAAAATCCTACTTCCTGCTTTTAATAGCGTTAGTGAATGAGAACAGAGGATTTTCTATATTCTTGGAGAACTTAAATTATTTACATACCAGTTGAGATGTCAACCCAAAAAAGCACCAAATACAAGTCCAACCATTACTAACAAGATGTTCCTGAATATGGAAACCTATTTTCACCACTGATGAAAAAAATCATAATTACTGTCTTATAATTAACTATGAGATAGTAACATAATTAATTGAGATTGTTTTTTTTTTCCAGAGTGGCAGAAATAGGCTTTCATTTACCTGCAGCTGAGATGCAAATGAATACTTCTTAAAAGGTACATATGCAATACAGGATAAAGTATTTCAGTCAGTTATATTTGACTGACATAAAAATAAGAATTAATAGCCATCAGTCTAAATTGAAGTCTGGACATAAATTAATGTATTCCCTTATGTCAAGTGTCTTATGTGTTTTTTAAAGGAACGATTCAGATGCAACTTAATTGTTTAGGTCAATCTAAGGAGGTAAGATTAAAAAAAGAAAATGGCACAATCTGAGAATAGTCTATTCTATTAACTCTGGAATTCAGTTTTATTTTCTTCAGCTATCTTTTCATACCTTGAACTCACTATTGCATTTTAAATCCAGTAGTTTCACTTTAAATCCTGAATATCGTGTATGTGCTTTTGCTTTTACATCAATTGCGCTATTATCAGAAAAAATACAAATAAAAAAGTCGTTACTGTCAAATTGTTCTTTTGCTTCAGGTGAGAACTTTGGTGTAACATTAAATCTGTTGACGGCGGATCAATACTTGGCCAGTATAGGCGCAAGACTTCTTAAAAATGGCGTCTGATGCAGGTTGCCCAGAGACCAGGAGCACAGCTCTTATTGACCAAAACAACATCAGTGTTTTGTAAGTCATCTCTCCAAGGCATGGAGTCTGCCGTTGCGTCGAGAGTTGCGTCGGACACGGAAGCGCACACCAACCGCCTTCATCATTTTCTCCATCATGGGAATGCACGGCCGCGCTGCCGCACCGCTCTCTAACCAACATGAATGTCTTTACGCGTTCCAGGGGACATGATCGCCGTTCGCTCGTTTATCGCCCGTTTACGATAGAAGAAGAAGAAGTGACCTTCTCTGAGGCGGAGGATGTCAGCTCTGAAAAAGGTAAGAAAAGACGGCGGAGTGTTTGTTTGTGCACGAACCGAGCTGGTGACGCGGGGCTTGTTTTTCTTCTTCTTATTGGCTTCAAATCCAGGTGCATCTGCACCTAGTAGTTGTTGTTTTTTTTTCTTTAATATTGACCATTTGATCCAAAGCAGCCACGCACACTTAAAGCCAACGTCTCAAGAAAGAGCCAGAAGTTCTGCAGAGCCAGAATGAGTCACTCAGTGACTGATTTTTCACTTTGTCGTTTATCAATCAATCGCACCGGAACATGAATGGTGTGTGGGTGAGGTGTTGGGAGCCTTGTCACTGTTTGGAGGAGGAGGGTTGGGGGTAGACGTTTCTCCAGTCCCTTTTATTTATTATTGCCCACATGTTCCCATTGTGTTGTTTCCCACCATTCAGTAAATCTCTGTGTGTATATGTGTGTGTGTGGTGACTCAGCTGTACTATATCTGTCATCCATCTTTTCATCTGTCACAGGTGTTACCATGGCTACTACAGACTCACTGCTGTCTTTTCTTTGAGAAGGACTCAGGTAAGCTGTGGGAAGGGTGACTCATTCACCTTTAATGGGGGCATGCTCACTTTAATAGACAGTTTATCTTTTTACATCTTGTAACTGGCTTGCCAGCAGCACTGATTTGCTGGAATGAGACATTAGGGGGGCATTAACACTGGTCAGAAGGAGAAGCTGTGGGAAAGCTGTCATTTCTTTTCTATTTTCACCAGGGGGGGACAGATTTTCTTGTAATTTTTTTTGGCAGTGCTTTTCATCAAAAGTTCTTCAGCCTTTTCAGAGGTCTCTCAAAGCCTTTCTTTGGGTTTTGGCAGCTGTTTTACTTAGTTTCACAGCAGGGCCTGTGCCGGCACATGTCATGCAGTGTTTGCCTAAAAATAAAGTGGATAGGGACAAAAACAAGACAAAGGAAGAAACATCGAATCAGATATGACACAGGACCTGAGAGATGCTTCAACCTTGGACTGATTCTGCTGTACCTTTGAACAAGTCTTCAAACCCTTTTAACTTTTTCACGTCATGTGGCGTTACAGCCAAACTTTATTGGATGCAATTTTGATTTTAAGACAAAGACCAACCCAGAATAACACATAACTGTTAAGGGGCAGGAAAGAGTACATATATTATTTATTTATTAATTTTTTGAGCATTTTTCTTTCTTTTTTAATAGTCATTAAATAAAAATCTGAAAGTGTGGTGTGCATAATTTCCAACCCTGGACCATAAGCTTTCAAAGGGACACAAGTACACATTTGGAAGAAGGAGCTCTGGTCAAATGAGGGGAAAAAAATCTTTTGGCCATATTTACAGTGCACAACCTCAAGTTTTGTTGAATACATGTAAAATTTAATCTTTATATAAATCAATATACAAATTCACCAAATTGCATATCTTGTGCATCTGCTACACATTTTCTTTCTAGTTCTGCCAACTTGCTGTGAAATTGTTCAGCACAAACTTTGATCTCAAAATACATCGCAAATCAAAAGTAAGCAGATGCTCATAGTGATGATAAATTGTTGCTCGTTTCTATGAAACATCTCTGTTACACTCCACCAAAACCAGCTTCAGACTAAGACTCTCACAGTGATTAAAGAAAGTTAGCAAATGTGAGATGGTGGTGAAGTTGTGTGTAAAGCAGAAAAATGTTGCTAGTCATTAATTAGTTAAACTCTGCGTGACTCCTTCTCTCAGCAGAGGTAACAGCTCAGAGAAATATCGGAGTAAAAAACAACTACAGGGGTCTGCTGGCTTTCTCCTGGCATTTTTGGGGTATTGATGTTGACTAAATGCCGCTTCATGGAAACACTGAGCTCAGATAGCGTCACTGCCCCCTTGATGCTTTTGAAGCCAAAGGCCAAGATGAAATCACCAAATATGGATCTAATTTATTCATTCGCCTTGAAATGATGTTTCCTCTACGTGGCACACAAATGAAGGACGCGGTACTCTATGTTTTCCTCATGGAGCCAAGTTCTTTTAATTAGAGATGTAATGATCCAAGACTTGTGGCAGATTTTCAGTCTTATTTTTTGCAAAGCTCTGACCTGCCTGTGTTAATTTCTCATTTGTCTTTAAGAAAATACAATTAATCAGTGTTCAATGTGTTTCTTTCCAGCCTGCCTGCTCTGAACGGTAATTAATCATTTATGTATAGAAGACGAGGCAACCTCACACTTTCGGAGTCAGAAAGCAGTTGCTGTAAAACTGCTTCTAACACACAGCTATCATGGAGTCCACAATTTATGTTAGCGATTGAAACAAATATTGAGATTAGCTTCACTAAAATTGTAATCTTTGTGTTTATTCTAAAACAATATAGGATAAGTCTGAGATTTCCAAAAGATTGCTAACATTTCTACATGGTGTAGAAATGAAATAACCAGCACTGTTTACTAGTTCGAAAAAACATTTGATTATTCTTAGAAAATTTCTTTGGCCAGAAAGTGTTAGTTTTTCAAGTTTTATAAAAAAACGTAGCAATTCATAAGACATTCATAGCAATTTAAATGTAGTTTCTTTCTGAAACTACTCTTGTTCATTAAACAACTTAAGTCTGACTAAAAATCATTTATGAAAATTAAATCAGTAAATTAAGTTGTGCCACTCATATATAAATTAGCCTCCTTTATTTACACAGAGTTGTATCCGAGGTTATGATTCATGTAACTGGGCAAATACATTTTGCAATTGCGACATTGTACATCTTGCACAGATATTGCAATGATGGAGTCACGGTAAGATACAAGATTTAGACAGAAAAGGCTTTCAAGGTCCTTCAGAAAGACTGAAGAAATGTTGGTGGAGAGCGATTTGAAAGATCACATTGATCAATGACTATCCAATAATCTAACATAGATCAGATTTGGCTTGTTTTCTTAAGGTAGTAGCTGTCTTTCTTTTCTTTCCTTTTAATGTTGATTTTGCATGTCTCTAAATGACATTGTTTTTGCTGTTCAGTATTAAAATGTCCTGCTTCCACTCGGATGTCAGGTCTAACAGCATTTGTTGGGCTTGGAGTAACGTGATAATCACATTGTGTAGATGTCCTTTTTTGTTTTACAAATGAGCTGACAGTGGAGATTCAGCCCACCTACCCACAGAGATTATCTGGGAGTTAATCATGTGTAGTGTCCCACTGTGTCTTTACAGCCTTTGTCAGCAGGAAAACTTTTGCTGAAGGGAGAATAGATAGTGGAACGTCATTTCTTATTTGATGTGCACAACGTAAAGAATCGCTAAGGGTTTAATCGGCTTCATCAGCCACACGCAGAAGCTGCTCTTGATCATATCTTAGTCATCATTTTCTCAAGGTTGGAGAAGAATGTTAACGACTATGTGAAGCAGATAGTTTTAAGGAATATAAACCACAAATTGCATGCGGCAGATCCTGAATTTTTTTTAATTATTTTTGTTTGAGATGGAGTTTACAGTTCATAGATGAGGATCTTAAGAAATTGAAATCTCTGGGAAGGGTTTAAAAAATAAAAATAAAACAGGATAGCACCACTAGATGGGACTGTTTCATAACTCACATGCCTTGATCTTTCTAGTGATTCTCCAAACCTGACCGGTTTTACAACAGGCTGTGAATTGCTTTAGAGGGGAAAACCTGGTAGGAATTACTTTTTTCTGCTCAATACTTTTAGCACCCAACTTTTCAGCTGGAATACTGAATAGTCTTTAGGTTTTTATGCAAATGAATAAGACCCAGGTTTGAAAGGAATTATTTAATTGTTCCATATATTTCTACAGATATGTTATCTTTTATGTTCTGAGGAATTGGTGGATTGATAATGAACACAACTTTGATTTTACAACACTGAAAATTCAACAAAGAAGTTTGAAGTTTCTAGGTTAGTGCTGACCATTCTTTTTGGCTGCATTGAGTTTTTGAACTAGAAATGATTGTTTATGGGCTGCAGAGTGGCTTAGTTGCTAGCACTGTTGCTTTACAGCAAGGCAGAAAGGGTCTGGGTTTGAATCCTATTTTGGGGTCTTTCTGCATGGAGTTTGTCATTCATCGTGCCATCCAATGGACCAGTAACATCTGAAGTGAAACAGATCAATAATATGTTGCTAGCACTACATCGCTTGACTGTTGGTATTTTGCTCTTAGGTTGAAAAACCTCACATTGACTCCTATAATTCTTTTCATGATGAATAGCTACATTTTTAAAAATATTACCAGAAAATATTTGGCTTGTTTGTGTGCGATGCTGCAAATCTCAGTCAAGTTCAAGTTGTTCACTTTAAAACCAGTAGCTCTTTTATATTTAACTGGATGAAACCAGTTAAATGTTAAATTCAGTCAATTTATATTTAGCTTCAGCTTTGGTGGGTTTTGGTTGCTTCATACCACTCCAGCTGGTTACCATTCATCTGATGGTGCAAAGGCAGATTGGGATAAAAATCAATCCTATTGAAAATGTATAGACTATGCTTAAAATTAGTCTGCATACCAACTAATTTTAACAAGCTTGAAAATTGTTTAACTATTTATCTTAAATTCTAAAAACATACAATAAATTCAATGTTTTCACAACACATACCAAAAAAACAATGTAACCATTCATTTACTGTCAGTTTAAGGAAGCAAAGTACAGAAAACCACTATCACAGCTCCCACAGCTCCCAGAGATCTTGGACACTCATCTATCTGCTCTGCTAATCGTTTATATCTGTATCATCTGTTGCTCACAGATCATTCTCATCTTAAGCAGAGAAGTATTCTCCCACTGAACTTGCGCTGCTCAGAATACAAATGCTGCTCACATTAGATTCTAAAATCAATAGGATCCTTTCCCAATCTGTATTAATTCCTTTCTCAGATTGTCTCTCAACCTTTGAAGCTCTGCTTTCACTGCAGAATGAAGAGGATGTTGAAGAAGAAAGGACGTGAGGGGAATCTGAGGGCATTTAAAGTTTGAGATCAAGTGTTCTGCTTGATGGGTGAAATGTGTGGTTCTAGTTTGGATAA